GAAACCAAATTGGAGGCTTTTTTCCCGCCCCTTTGGAAAAAAAAAAAAAAAAAAAAAAAAAAAAAACAGGAGAAAAGTGGCAAGGATTCATGTCTGACTTCCCTGAAAGTGTTTTGCCCTGATGCTCCAGGTGTGACAGAAACATTGTTTTATTCACTGCCTCAACAGCAAGTGCTTTATGGATCAGCTTTTCTGTACACACCATACAGAAAGTCCTCTACACCGAGGAAGCTTGATCCTTTTCTTGTTTACAGCAAGCTAATTCACAGTTCTTTCACTGCAAACATGGTTTAAATTAGGAGTGATGCCACTGAAATTGGAGGCAGGTGGCAATTCTGGGTTTATGCTAGGACCACCAAGGCTCACATTAGGCATAGCGAATAGGGTACGTCAGTGCAAGTCAATTCAGACAGGAGCTTCAATTTTGGTGGAAATTGTGTTGGAATTTCAGCTCTAGGACTAGTAGCAAGATAGCACTAGAAGTCTGGTATGTTTTATCTAAATAAAAAGTGTAAATTACATGGCAGAATACGCTTTGCTCTGCACACAGCCTGTGTGGTGTTAATTAAATCCTCAGCTTCTTTTTTAGTAGAAGGAAGACTGAGAAAATGAGTATGAAATCAATTCGACATTTAATTAAAGTAACTCTCTTCCATTCAGATGCTTTCCCACTATGATATTGGTGATGCAGTTGTAAGGGTGAGCCAGTAGGAATCACAAAGAAATTGGTTTACAGAAACAAAACTGACTTAAAAACTTAGGAATTTTACGGGTAGCATTACAAAACCAGGAGCCTAAGGTAAAAGCCCAGATCTCTGCACAGAGAGGCTTTTGTTTTGTTTATAATTCCTCCTTGGAATTTCTTTGGACTGGCTCAGAACCAGTGTTTCAGATGTTTTATGGTAATATTTTATTATTTCAATTGTACCAGATTCCTGTAGAAACCTCAGGCCAGTCCTTTGGTCACACATTGCTGCTATCCTAAGCCAACTGGGAAAAGAAGTGCAGCAGGTCTGGATGGATCCTGAGAGATGCTGTGGAGTGATGAGTACCAGGCACTGTCAGAGGACTGATGTTTACTAACTTTTTGGTTGACTTTTGTTCTTACACTTTCTTTCTCTGTCTTCCTGTAGGTTATAACCCTGGAAGGATGGGTTGACATCATGTATTATGTGATGGATGCACATTCTTTTTACAATTTTATATATTTTATATTGCTTATAATAGTAAGTATGAACTGTGAGATGCTCCCATTCCTTGTCGGGAAAAGCTTTTCTCTGGGCTTTTCACAGAGAAGAGCCAGCTAGGATTCAGAGTGGGAGACCTTCCTCCTGCCATAAAGCGTAATCATGCAGGTTGTGATTAGTGCTGTGGGGACAGATTATTGGCTACGACAGTCCATTTTAGTGTCACATGTGATGCATAGTCACAGCTTGTCAAGCCATATGGTCTTCCCTCCCTCTTATTCTCCCAGTCTTGGTCTTGTCACCTTGATGCATCCTAACTATTGTGCCTTGGCCAAGCAACTGCTAATCAGAACAAAAAGCAGACAGGCTGTAGCTTTTCTTCCTTTAGCCGCCTCAGTGTGCCAGAGGACACCTCATTTCAATGAAGGGCCCTCAAACTATTGAACTTCACCTGAGCCCTTTAAATAACAGTAATAATAGCAGTGCACCTTTCTGAGGTCTTATGGTGCTGTTATTCCTAAAAAAAAAGTATTACTCACTGGAGGTGCTGGAGATTGCCTTCAAAAGCTGCTATTTCATGTTAGCAAGGTCCTTTTTTACAATGGGCACAACCTTTTCCAGGGGTCTACATCTGTGGAAAAGTTAAGCATTTAAGTCAGGAGGAGAGCAGAGAGAAAAGTACCATGTAGATGTCAGGCAGGACTTGGGATGGAGGCGCTTCGAAGTGCTTTTGTGGCTGGATATTCTTTATATATAATCCCATCCTCGTCAGTGTAGTTTTGAAGGCCTTGGGAAGTCAAACCACCACAGCTCCCACCACCAGTGGGAAAGACATGGATCAGAGCAGTGTGAGAGTTGCCCAGTAATGGATAGCATTCTGAAGCCAGTGATTTTTGAGCCTTTAGCAATGGGCCATGCATAGTAGAGATTTATGCTCTGCTCTTTTGAGCCCTTCTCTACATATGGATTCTTGCAGAAAAGCCAGAAGGTGACTAATCTCCAAGTCACTTGGAACTGGGAATGGCACCCTTGCTGCTTCTCCAACAGTATCCAGGCCGATATTACAAACTGGAGAATAGCACTGCAAACCATCTCCCAACGGCTTCCCCTGAGGATTCACCAGACAATGGTCCAGATTAAATCCATACGTTTCCTACTGAGCACAGCACAGAGGTTTGGCCATGTAGACAGTGGCACTTTCTTGACGTCAGTCCCTTTCACGCCTAAGGGCACTGATTCTCCGATGGGAATATTTGACATTTTCCTTCGGCTGATTTATGTACCCAAGGAGTAAAAAACCAGTTTGTGGACTCAACAGCTGAGGGAAGGACGTAGCCTTAGGTCACTTCACATTCTTGTCCTTGGGACTTCATTTTGAAAACCTGGTATCACCCAGAACTCATCAACTCAACCAGACAATAAATCAGGCCTTTCTAGGAGCACTAAATCTCCTGGAAATGCATTTGTCTGTGTCAGAGAGATACAAGAGTACAAGGTCACAGATGCATGGACCCTGACTGTCCTCCTCAAAATGAGGACACACTATGCCAGAGTGTGATGTGATAGAGGAAGAGGCAGTTTCAGTAGAGCACAAATTGGACTTCAGAATGTCTTTCCTTGCAGGTTGGCCGAGTGTTTCCTAGTGATCTGTTTTGTGGTGGTAACTGATTGCGTTGTGTTTCATACACCCTGCGTTAGCAGCAAATGTCATCGCTGTTGAGGGGAGGAAAGTGGTGAAGGCTATTGTTAACAGCTTTCTTTGACATTGCCAAAATAATTTAACATGGCTTAGGAGCAAATTTAGCAGCTCAGGCACATGTTGACATAACATTTGGTGAGCAGACCCTGAGATTTGGCATGTTTGGAAATCTCGGGATTTCTAAGAACCATACTTCAAGTCCAGACAGCATGTGGTGGTGAAGAGTGTGTCTTGCGTTGTAAAGTCCCTGCTAATTCCTTTCCCTGCGTTTTCTCCAGGTTGGTTCCTTCTTCATGATTAATTTGTGCCTGGTTGTGATAGCAACACAGTTTTCTGAAACGAAGCAGCGGGAGAACCAGCTGATGCAGGAGCAGCGGGCCCGTTATCTCTCCAACGACAGCACAATTGCCAGCTTCTCAGAGCCAGGTAGCTGCTATGAGGAGCTGCTCAAGTACATATGCCACATCTTCAGGAAGGTGAAACGGCGGACAATACGCCTGTACAATAACTGGCAGAGTAAGCGCCGGAAAAAAGTTAACCCAAACAGCACCACAAATGGGCAAAGCCACCGAGGCAAAAAGCACATCACCTCCATACACCACCTCATCCACCATCACCATCACCACCACCACCATCACTATCATATCAGCAATGGAAGCCCTCGGGGGCCACGCTCCAACCCTGAGATCTGTGACCTGGAACTCAAGGTCATGAAACCTGGAGGCCAATTGATGCTTCCTTCTCCATCACCCAAGTTGCAGAGCCCTGCTCCTCCTCCAGATTCGGAGTCTGTGCACAGCATTTACCATGCAGACTGCCATGTTGAAGGACCACAAGTGAACTGTAAGTCTTCCAATGCCCCTGCAAGCATTAAATTGACTGCTGGACTCTCCAACCATGGCAACATGAACTATCCTACCATCCTGCCTTCTCCAACTAGCAAACCCAGTTCTGTTCCGGTTCCCAAAGGAAAGAAGAATGGCAATTCACCTGTGGCTGTGGTTAATAGCCCTGTAAATTTGGGCACGGATTCTTATGGGAAGCTGCAGCAACTGGTAGGAGAACATGGTAAGGACAAACAAGCTGATTTTTTTTTGCTTAGAAAAACTGGGCGAAGGGCAAATTGCTCAAGAGTTAAGGTGTTAATGGTAGCCATATAGGGTGCTGAAGATGGAGGCTGTTTTGTGAATGCTGTTTGAACTGAGCGCTGAAGCCAGTAGGACAGGTTGAGGGACTGAGAGCTCTGTTCCTTCTACCGTTGTATTTGCAGTCATTGGGTAAAGCAAGATACAGGATGGTCCAGGCAGTGAGTTCAGGCCGCTGCTGGAGGCTTCTTTTCCGTGGTTACAAAGCATGTGTTTTTGAACTCCGCTCATGTGCTTCATGATATCCCGGAGGTTCTCCCTCTGTTCCCACCCAAGAACAGCTCTATGCAGCCCCTGGAATTACATCTCTGGTGAATGACGGACCTGCCGGCTGCAGCCCTGCAGCAGAGAAGCCCCAGCTGCTGGGAGATGGTACCTTGAAAGGGAAGAGCAGGTGGAAGCTGGTGGAGAAGCATAAGGTATAGGAAACACATGAAGTTTAAAACAGGGAGGCACTGAAAAAACTCAGAACAGACACTTCTAGAAATCCCTAGTTCTGCTCTGACAGGCCCCTGAGCCTCCGAATTTCTTTTTGGCAAGAAGAAGGAGGTTTGGAGGAAGGCCCATGGCCACTGCAGGGTCTTGCTCTGTGGTAGTCCTCAGAGGATTCATGTGAGGGCAGGAGTGTAGCAGAGCTGCAGGTCTCAGGCTTTCCCTCTTGTCTTTCCCCATGTGCAGAAGAAATGTAGGACTGATTGTCACTGCAGATTTGGAGCTCCATTCAATCTGAATGAATGAGGAATCTCTTGGGGACTCTTTTGTACCTCTGTCCCATCCCTATCTGTACAGACCGCAGCCACGCCAGCATTGCTGGTTAGTGTAGTTTTATCTCCCTTCATGTATAAATCACCCACTGCTGGAGTAGTGATTACATGCAACACTTAGGTTTCTATTTGGCAAAATGTTTCTGTTTGGAGCTTCATTAGGCTGGAGCTAAAGGCTGAAAAAGAGAGTCTTAAGCCCTCAAACAGTAAAAAGTCAAAAAGATATAGCTTCTATTTTATAATCTCTTTAAGCCATATTAGTCATCTGTTTTTTTCAATGCCTGTGTTTTCCAAAACTGTTTATCTGTGTGTGCATGGACACAAATATTTATCCTAGTGATGTATTTACTGAAAAAATACCAAGTCTAGCTTGGGGGGGGTCACAGTAAAGGTTGTTTGCCAAATAGATTGGGTGGCTTGCCTTTGTTAATATTTTTTTTTTAAGTGACCATACAAAAGGGTAAAGTGGATTGTTTATAGAAATTGCCTTCAGCGGACATTTCTGTACACTTGGGAGCTTAGCAGAAGGGAGCAAGGTTAGTTGCAACGTTCTTCCGTTGTTAAGCAGGGGCTTTATATGAATCACTGGCTCATCTTTAACTATGCAAGTTAATGAAGGTTATTATGAGAATGTGTATTTACCTTGAGATAAAAGCCCAGGCTCTGCAGAAGTCTGTAACTGGGAAAGCAAGGATGAGCAGGAGAGCTGTTGCTTGGAAGGCAGTGCTCAGGTCAGGGGTTTGGTTCTTCATGCTTGCAAGGGGATCTGCTGCTGGGGTCCTCTTCAGGAAAGAAAGCCCCAGATATCAGTCCCAACTGTGACATCCCAGAGCCACTTCAGTGACTTAGGAGATTTTCACGTAGCCTGTGGTGGTTCTTTGAAAGCAGGAGGTTAGATGAAGTTGCTATTAATAATGCAATTATAGTATCTTCTTTTTACAGAGGCATTTCAGCCCAGAGGATGCCAAAATGCTTTAAACAAATCTCCTGAAATTGTTTTGTCTCTTTCAGAAGTGTGGTTCTGTCTGGGGGAAAGGGTGGATACCGCAGGTCTTGGCTGGTGAGCAGCAGCTTATCTGGCACCCTAAGGAGCACAGGGGCTGGGAAGGGAAGCAAGTCAGCCGGGTCCATCTGGAGACCCTGTCACACAATGTGTCAGTGCCCAGCTCTTCCCCTCCATGGCTCTGGCTCTTTCCAGGCCCTCCTTCCCACTGCTGCCACAGCCCCTCCTGCCACACCAATAGAGCTGAGTTGGATTCACTTCTGCACCACAACCATCTTTGTACAGCAGGGATGAAGGATGTGTCTTCCAGGCTTCAGGAGGATCTTTAAGTGCCAAATAAGCTAGCTCCTGAGGGTGTAGCTCTGTCAGGCACAGCTCCCAACTCATGTTTCTCCATCCCAGTCTAAATTTAGCAAAGTAGCCATGTTAAGTCCCTTCCCTGTGCTCAGCAGGGAAGGTGAGGTGGGCTCACCAGCTCACCCAACCCTCCTGGCCTCAGCCTCTTTGGGCAAACAAAGAGCTATTTCACTTAATTCTCCCTCCACTCTTGCAAGTCAACAAGCAGAGCCTGCTCACTGCAAGACTTGTGCAAGTAGAGCACACAAGTGATAATTGAGAGCATTAAGGAGGCATTAGCAGCCAGGGCACTCCCCCCCCCCCCCCCCCCCCCCCCCCCCCCCCCCCCCCCCCCCCCCCCCCCCCCTCCTGCCACACCAATAGAGCTGAGTTGGATTCACTTCTGCACCACAACCATCTTTGTACAGCAGGGATGAAGGATGTGTCTTCCAGGCTTCAGGAGGATCTTTAAGTGCCAAATAAGCTAGCTCCTGAGGGTGTAGCTCTGTCAGGCACAGCTCCCAACTCATGTTTCTCCATCCCAGTCTAAATTTAGCAAAGTAGCCATGTTAAGTCCCTTCCCTGTGCTCAGCAGGGAAGGTGAGGTGGGCTCACCAGCTCACCCAACCCTCCTGGCCTCAGCCTCTTTGGGCAAACAAAGAGCTATTTCACTTAATTCTCCCTCCACTCTTGCAAGTCAACAAGCAGAGCCTGCTCACTGCAAGACTTGTGCAAGTAGAGCACACAAGTGATAATTGAGAGCATTAAGGAGGCATTAGCAGCCAGGGCACTCACAGCCCCAGCTGGAAACAAGGTTAGTGTCTGCTGGGAAAGATGCAATTGTGGGAGAGAGTATTCTCTTCCCTTCTTTTGTTGTGGAATTGAACAGCATAAAGTACAGCCTGTTCCTCCGTGTTCTCGTGCCCTGCAATGCTGTGAGGTTATTTTAGCAAGCAGCCAAGGAGACTCTGGTATTTTGAAGACATCTGCGGCGCCAGTATTTTTCATATAATTTTTAACACTTTGATAGCATTAAAAGACGTCTGGCAAGCCCACTACCTCTGCTATCCGTGCTACTGTGGCTGCACTGCAGTCTTTCCTCGTCAGACCGGTCGCAATCAGAAACACAGTGCTAATGTGCAGTGCTGCACTGGTGCTGCTTGCGGGTTGAGTAAGGGGGCAAATATTTCTGATCTTCCTGGTGTCTTTGATGTAACGACCAGGAGGAGGACAGTCCTCTCCTGAAAGGCTGTTTTGAAGGCCAGTGATGTCTGAGTGACATTCAGGCAAGTAAAATGTATTTTGATTTGTCACAACCCAGTTTTCAAGCTAATGGCGTGCTTTATTTCGTTTGGTGCTGCCTTCTCTTTAAAGACGTCCTCAAATGTCAGCCAGAAGTAGCTGAAATCAGCAGCATTACTGCTGGGTGAGCTCCAAGCTCCTGGGCCCAGAGCCAGGAGCATCCACTGCCTTTTGCTTGGTCTCCCCAAAACCTATCCAAGCGTCCCCATCCAACCTCCGGTCAGGGCCATGTTACAGCGGAAAACTGTCCCTTCATCTTGTTTCCCTGAACCTCAACAAAAGTTTTCATTGATGCTTGAATGGCATTTTATAGGAAGGATCCCACACTCGCAGTATTGCATTCCTGTTGGTTTTTTTCTGCCCTTAATATCTGGTTCCTAAATATGAGGAAACTAGGAATTTAGTTTCTAAGTAAGAGGAAATAAAATCTGGTTCCTGTTCCACCCAAATCATCCTTGTTACACTTGTCCATATCATCTCCATACCTTGGCTCTGTGAGGGCAGCCAGCATTTCTCGTCACACCACAAAACATGTGGCAATGTGTTTGATTTTAAAACACCCTGAACACTCAGTCCTGTGCCTCAAGCAAAGAATTCACCTGAGCTTTATTAAAGGCTGAAGGAGGGATGAAGGAGACTGAAGGGACTCCGTGACTCTCCGAGCTGTGATCCATGGTCTGTAGCCACCTTTGGTCCATTTCTCCCTCTCCCTCCTCATTATTAGCTAAATGGAAGTGCTATCTAAATTGGGTGTAGCAGCTTGATAGTGCTCAGATCACTGCTAATGATGTTAGCCTGGTCAGATATAATCAAAAATAATTGGAAGCGAGAGGTGTGCCAGTCAGTCTTCCCCCAGCAGCAGAACACAAAATGGCTGCCCCGCTGTGCGGAGAGGCCCCTCGGCCCTGCGTCCACGGAGGGGACTAGAGGGTGGGTGTCAGCGCTTGGGGAGAGGGGAGCAGAGGGAAAAATGAGGCAAAGCAAGAGCCACTTGGTAAGATGGATGGCTAGAAGGCTGTATTAGGGTATTGTATTTATTTGAGGATGCGGCAGAAGCTGCTTTGCCCTGGACAGGCCCAGCACTGCCCGAGAGGGGACACAGGGCTGTCTGCCATGTTGAGGGTGTGAGGTGGCTCACGGTGTACGTCTCCCCTTGCAGGTCTCCGGCGGACGCCCAGCCGGCTGTCGGGGCTGAGCGCAGCCTGCCCGCTGCCCAGCCCGCCAGGCGGCACGCTGACCTGTGAGCTGCAGGACTGTCCCTTCTGCGCCAGCCTCCTGGAGGACCCCGAGTTCGCCTTCAGCGAGTCCGATAGCTGCGACTCCGACAGCAATGGTGTCTACGAGTTCACCCAGGACCTGCGGCATGGCGACCACAGAGACCAGCTCCAGCAGCAGCGGGGCAGGAGGAGGAGGAAGAAGAAAAAACCCAAGGAGAAGAACAAGGTCACCCGCCTGTGGAAAGCTTTCGGCAGCAAGCTGAAGAGGATTGTGGAGAGCAAGTACTTCAACCGGGGGATTATGATAGCCATTCTTATCAACACACTGAGCATGGGCATCGAGTACCACGAGCAGGTGAGTGTGGGACTGGCCTGAAGAGCCCCGGGGGTCTGTGGTTTCAGGTGCTCACAGCATGGCGGCTTGCATGGTGGCTTGGGGTGACTCTGTCAAAGTTATGCCAGAGGAGGAGCAAGAGGTTTTCATGCAAGTTGGAAACACCAAATGGAGCCAAGGGCCTGATCCTGCAGACATATGATGAGCAGGAGCACCCTTCTGTGTGTAAAAAGCCTGGAAGGTGGCTGGCAGCACGGCTGAGGTGTGGAGAGTTTAAATGTGCGTGTTAGGATGTGGCAGCTCAGAGCCTGACTGCTTAAGTTGTTTCATGTGAAATATTCATAAAAGCATGAATTGTTCTGTTCTACCCCTTTGGTCTGATGGTGATGGTGCACAGTGGACCTTGTAGTGCAAATAACCCATGCAGAAGTTTCTTCTTTGATCCTGGACCTTTAAATAAAGACTTAAACTGTCAGGCAATGCTGAAAGCGACAAAGAAAAACAAAAAGTTAGTTTATTCTTGAAGGCTCCAAAACCTTTAATTTGATCTCATAGGGTACAAGTAGGTCTGTCTTTTAAGCGTTTGGAGGGAGGAAAGAGAAATCATGCTGTTCCCAGTATTAGTCTGAACATGGTGATGGCAGAAAGCAGTGCTGGCAGCTGAGGACAGCTTGTCCTTGTTGTTGGCTGATGGGAGCTTGAGGGGCTGTGCAATGGGAGAGAGAGGTGAGTCATCTGAGTATCTCCAGTTGGTCACTCTGGGGAAAGCTATGCTGTTCTGGGCTTTTCTTTCTCGGAAAAACTGGTTACTTTCAACTGTTTTCTCAAGACATGCTCTGGAATTTCGCGTGCTGCCTCTGTATCAGGTGAAGAAAATGCATCCCAGTGAGGCCAGGTGATCCTCATACTGATCTTCTGTGAGGTGGATAGTCAAAGGTTCATCCAGTGCTCCCCCAAAATCTTCACTGCAGGATCAGGACCAGGTCAAGGTTGTTTATAAAGCTATTTCTCCTCTCTGCCTTGGTCTCTTCACTCAGGAATGAGGAGGAAAGGCAGACAGAGTAGCATAGTACATCTAAAGGCAGGACAAGAGGCTCTGCTTTTTATTCTCCATCATTTCCCAGGATTAAGTCCTGCTTGGGGCCATGGCAAACAATCCTCCAGAGTGCTGCTACTTTATTTTCTCTCCACTTGTGTGCTTTAAACCCCCATATTCTGTGCTGAGACATATTTTCTTTCAGAAAAGCAAGTACTCAGCTAAAACACATGAGCCTCAGCCGTGCAACAATAAATTAGTTCACACTTAGAGCAGAGAGTGTCCAAACCCAACAAAGAAATAGCTGTCACTGTCAGTTTTCTGTCTGGTTAGTTGTTCCACAACAAGTTTTAAAATTAGGAAATACACCTTGTCAGTAGCCTTTGAACAGACCATTCATTCCTCACAGCGGCAGCATTTCTGCATGGATACTTTTTTGTCAGGCGGATACAGCTTTGTCAGTCCTTGAATATTGCCACAACGAGTGCTGGGGGAAAACCTTAAGCAGGCTGCAGTGAGAAAGCCCAGGGATCGCATGGAGTCTGTCCACAATCACTCGTATAAAGGTAGATTGTGATAATTACATCCTTGCTGCTAACAAAGGAAAACTGTACCCGGCAGGTTTATATTGGATTTTGCCTTGTAAAAGATTTGCTTTAAACCATCTCAAAGCCAATGGCAATAAAGATTCTGAAGCTTTTGGCTACGGAGGATCAGACTCCTGCTCACAGGCACTGCCCAGCGTGGGCCCAATAAAAAGGGAGGAATTTTAAAGTGAAACCTGTAAAAGTTCCTGCACGTGCCTGACTGCAAAGTGTCTCTGGTACGCAGCGGGGATAACGAGCCGTGGAGCTGTCAGAGCCCAGCTTTGAAACACCTCACCCAGGCACTCCCCTATCAACAGAGTGACCTCCAGGGCATCACCAGAGGCTGAGACACTATCCAAAAGCAATAGAAAATGGCTCTAGGCTCCCAGACCACTTGGCATGAAAGTCCGGGGCTTCTGTGAGCAAAACGGGGTGATTTCAGAACCCACAGCCCTCCTCGTGTGAGAATTGGCCGCAAGACTCAGGGTGGGGGGCTGGCTTTGTGTCGAGATACGGAGGAGATGCCTGTGCGAAGCTGTCATGAACCCAAAGCATGGTGTTGGGACAGAGGAGAGGTGAGAGTGGCTCGTTTTGGGTATGCCATGGTCCTTGCCAGGAAAAACAGTTTAGTCACAGCTTTCTGATTACTGAGTGACGGATGCTGCCCAGTCACTCTGCACCTCTGCTCAGAGCAGGTATTACAAGGCAAGAAGGTGTGAGCCTTTTCCCAGGGCTGTTAACCAGGCGTGGGTGTTGCCACTGTCTCCTTCTCCATCCTCCCAAGGGCAAACCTGGGGGCCATTCCCCAAGTCATAAGGATTTAGGAGCTGCCTACAAGGATAGCTACTCTGTAGCTCTCTGCTTTCCTTGGTCCCCCCCGAGCTGTTCAGTGTTACCCAGAGAGCAGGGTTCAGGGGCTCCCATTGGGGAGGCCTCCTGCGCTCTGTGCCTGCTGACAGCAGCATGGGCAGAGGACTCCTGGGACCTGAAACCCTGCAAAACATCACCTACCATGGAGACATTTGCTCTGGGTAGAACAGCTTAAGCAAATTCCCTGATCTTGACTCTTGCTGCTTGTTTTCAGCCATGGACTGGTTTTATCAAACTGGGCTGCAATCAGTGCAGCAGCCACAGGGAAACCCTCCCCAAATCTCACTGTCTGTAAGGAAATGCCCAATCCCTTTTATAAGAAATTACTAATGGCTGCTTGCTTTTCTTTTCTTTTCCGGCTTCTCAGACTTCACAGTCATCAGTGGCTTTGCAAATAGATGGACACACCATATATGTTTTTATTTCAGAGTGCTATTCAAAGCCAAGGGCATCAATCCTCCACGGGGGTGGAGGGGTGGAGGGTACTGAACAACATATGGCAGGGAAGATAGAGCAGTACTAGTCCTTGGTGCGTTATCTCGCCTTTCATCCCGGGACGTAGCAGCGCTCTGCGAAGAAGTCTCACGGAGCCCTCTTGAGGCAACAGAGCATTATTGTCCATATCTTTGGGATGAGGAAATCAAGGTTGCAAGGTGCCAGGCTGGAGGCAAAACCCAGTGGGCTTCACTGCTGGCCCTTATCATAGCTGCAGGGCAAGGGGGCATGTGTGCTGTAGCAGCACTTTGGTAGCACCCTTTGGCAAGACAGGAAGGTGATCTGTGTCTGCACTGCCACAGTCCTGGATGCTACCTCCAGATGAATGAGAGAGACCTGTCCATATTCACATCTCCTCAAGGCTTTAGTACGTGTTTTTATGGGAATTTGAAGCTCACAGCAGTCTGCTCACATGGTTACTCTGGCTGCTCTTGGCTAAGACAGCTAGCACCATCCCATTTAATGCACACAGCCCACGTAATAGCCTTTTAGGCAACGATCCTGTCCTGTGGCTAAGGGCATGACTGCTGTAGCAGCTAGCTGACTCGTAGAAAAGATGAGGAGATGCTAGAACTGCTTTGCACAGAGCTGTCCCTTAGCAGTCCTGCTCTTCTCAGAGGCAGATTGAAGATTTCATGGCAGTACAGCTGGTTTGCGGCAGGAGATCCGGGTAGCAGGAGGCAGCTGATGATGGGAAGCGAGTTTCTTTGGGACTTCAGTCATTAGCGGCAATTGGATCCTCCCGCACAGCGCATCCGTGGGGTTAACAGCCAGCTCTGTCTCCAACTGCCATGTTGCACATGGCTGGTAATTAGGAGGTTACAGGATGCTGTTAGTTAGCAGTAGCACAACTTGTATTTCACAGATTAATTGGCTGGTTTGGAGTTCCTTTTTTTTTTCCCCCTCCTCTCCTGCTTTATTTATTTATTTGTCTATCTCCAGCACGAATAAGCACTCCCACAGATGAGGAAAGCCAAGTACAAAGAAGGCAGCAATCCTTGCATTAATCTTCCAGGCAATTTCAATACATTGGATGATTTTGTTATGCGTTCATTGCAGCTGACAATTCCCCAGAGTATCTGAGAACGTGCCATGGCACTGCAGCAACCAAGCAGGAACAGTGCACTCCAAAAGCATGACCTCTGCCATGCCTTTGGGGTAGTGGCGAGAGATGCCTGACACAGGCGGGTCCTGTTGCCGGAGCTGTGTTTCCAAGTGCCTCTCTGCCACTGAAAGCTGATACCTTTTTGTCCCAGAGCCAGCTCCTGTGTGTGCTTCACTGACTGGTCTGAAGAAGTAATTGCTACTTCCTCGGTCTGCCTCAATTCCCAGCTCCCCAGTTATCCACTAGAAGGACAGAGTCCTGTTTGTTTGTCCAAGAGAGATGCTGGCATTATCCCTGCAGAAGGGTGAGCTCTGAATTCATCCCTGAGGACCTCTGGTTTAAGTCATAAGGAGAGACCCCCTCTTGGCTTCCCAGAGGAATTTGCAGAAGTAGCTGTTGATACTTGTAATGATTCCACATAAAAGGCTCAATTTACATCAAATGGCACTAGAAATGCTATTTTATATTCACTTCTCAGAAGAGAAGTACAAATTAGTATTTGTTCCAAGCTATTGCTGTTCAAAGAGCTTTTAATTGCTTTTCTGATCCCTCATCCATAGCATGTTTCTTTCAGAGCAGCTGTCTTTAGAGTAGGTTGGAGCTGACCTTGGTGAGCACCCAGTGGTCCCTTGCTTATCAGTGTAAGAGAAGCATTGGTTTTGAGTAGCACATTTTATTATTCTGGAGTAAAAGTAATTCTGTGTGATTTAAGGTAGCAACTAGCTTCTCGAGTGACGTTCTATTTTAACATTTGTCAATTTTGGCTTGAAAAATTGGTTTGGCCTGGAAAGCTCAGCACTTACTCAGAAAGCAGAGGAGAATCTTTCAACGGTGTTTGAAGCAAATTGCTTAAATTCCTTTTGAGTTGTGAGTCAATAAAATATTATCCTGATCTGAAATTCTCACTTTCAGCTAGCAAAACTTGTTC